TTATTGCTCCGAATTTTTTACCTACATCACATTTACAGCAAACGATCATCGATGAAATTATTAAAAAACCCACATATTTTCGTGGCTCAAAAGATGATGTTCACGATTGGTTAGAAAAATTAGAACAACGTTTTAAAATGGCAAAATGGAACGATGAAGGAAACTTACAATATATTTCAATACATTTACAAGATGATGCATATCGATGGTGGACACAAACATTTACGACGATTAAATCATGGTCATTATTTACTGAAGCTGTTACAAAGGCTTTTGGATCAACAAAGGTACAAGAATTAGCTTTTGAACAATTAAAATGGTACAAACAAACGGATAATCAATCTATTACACAATATTATGATAAAATTATTGAATTATGTAAGAAAGTTGATCCAGCTATGGCTGATTGATTAAAATTAAAATATTTAATGGCTGGTGTAAAAGAATCATTAAAGTTACATATTGCTTTATATGATCCACAAACGATTGAAACATTTTTATCATATGCAAGAAAAGTAGAAGATACATTATCTTTTACTAAAACTAATTATATAATACATCAATATAATGAATCACAAGATGTTCATACATTTCAGCAATCATTATTACCAATCGCTACTCCTGAAGGACAACATGAACACAATGAATACAAAAATGTTCGATATCCACAACATGAACTTTTAGACACAAAGGGTGAGAATAATTCACGTTATAAGAATTCTTTTTATTCTAGTCCATCACGTAATTCAACACCAAATAAGTCTTCAAGAATTTGTTATACATGTGGTACTCCTGGACATTATTCTCGGGATTGTACCCGTCACCATTTCGAGTAACGGAAGCTTCGCAAGATGGTGTTGCTTCCTGTAATATTAGTACAAATCCATCTTTCAATAACTCATCATTATTTCTTATAACAACACTTATTAATGATAAATATATGAAAGCTATGATAGATATGGGTACAACTCACACATTTATTTCAATGAAAACATTATTTAAAATACGTAATCAACAATTTATTAATTCGATACATCGTCCAGTATTTTCTACTTATGAAAATATACCTTTTCCTATTTATGGTGAAATTCCATTATCAATTAAAATGGGTGAAATATTGACTTCAATTAGAGCATTTATTATTCAAGATTTATACTTTGATTGTATATTAGGTATGGATTTTATTAAGAAATATAAATTACATATTAATTCGGAAGAGCAAACCATGTCGATTGCTGATAACAATAAACGAACAACATTACATATGAATGTTAATAATGGAAAAATTCGTTTGCCTGTGCGCTTGATTAATACTATTCGGATTAAACCAAAACAGACTGTTTCTGTTCCCGTTTCTGTTCCATTATCATCATATAAAGCGCTATTTCGACCATCATTTAATTTACAACAACACACACCTTTAGTAATATCAAGCTCATTAATATCTGTTAATGATTATACTTCTTTTATCTCTCTTTATAATCCGAAAAGTTATTCGCAAATGCTATCCAAAGGAATTATTTTGGGAACAACAACAATTTCTACATTACTATTGAAGAATATTTCTACTATTAACAAACAATCAATCTATAAAAATCCAAACAATTCATTTCATCCAAACTTGAAAGTAATGTTAGGCAAAATGAATAAAACTTATTCGAAACGTAATAGGCAACCGCTGAATACGGCGTCTGTTGCTGAAAAAATTTGTGGCCAAGTCGGTTCTATTTTTACATGTCCAAAAAACAAACCAACTATATACAAACGACAACCAGATCAGTTTGATACAAATCAATTAAAAATTGAACAATCTAAAGATCCACATATTCAACAAAAAATTAAAGAACTAAAACAGAATCCAAACGAGCATCCCTATGTATTACAAGATGGAGTGTTATATAAATTAATGTTAATGAAGACCAATTGTTTAACTAAAGTTAAATTAATTTATTTACCAACTTCCATGATTGATTCGTTTATTAAAGTTTATCATACTGATCCTATTGCAGATTACTCCAGCATACAACGTATATATTTGAAATTAAAAAACAAGTTCTGGTGGCCAAATATGAAACAATCTATTATCCAATATATAAACACTTGTTTACATTGTCAAGAAAATAGCAATAGCTATATTAAAAATCCCGATCAAGTATATCCAAAATCGATTATCAGCAAACAAAATTCTACTCAATTAGTACGAAATGAAACAACTCCATTAATTAATCGTCAACATGTTAATGATATTCGACCAAAATTTATAAAATCAAAATAAAATATTATTATGTGCATTGATAAAGTATATTTATTATTTGATCGACTTTATATATTTATAACAATATTCATATGAACAACTTCCATTCATACAACATAAGTTATAATATTTGATCAGGTATATTTGTTACAAACTCGATCACGTTTTTGGTCGTATTTTTTTTTTCCTTTACTTCCTGTTGTTAGCTTTTTCTATGTTTTCTGTTAATCATAGTCTTATATTATTTCATCTATTCATTTCTGTATCTTTTTATATATGTTGTTAAAGACATGTTGTTATTTTCTATAAAAAAAAGAATTTTTCTTTGTATCTAAAAATCTTTTTTTCTCAATGGGGTAGGGTGTTATGTCCTGACATCTATATATATGTATTGTTCATCTATTCTCTTTTCTTTCTTCTTCTTTGATGATATATATATATATGTGCATGCGATATTATGTACCGGTGGTGATTCTTTAAGTTTAAGAAATAAACAAACGTTTATGTTCTACATATTCGAACCCATGATTTGCCCTTAAAACAAGTATAATAAAAGTAGAACATAACAATGATATATTTAATTATTATGATTTATTTAATATCAATGCTTATCTTACAATGTTTTAGGTTAATCATGATTGAAATTAACTTCAAAAATGAGTACTGAT